AACATATTAGTAACTGGTCAGCTAGTACAGCACAATGGTTAGTGGTGAGATCACCAGGTTAAAAAAAGGTGAGAAGTTCTCCTCAACTTCTTACTTGATGTAAGACGAGCACAAACACAGAAAGTGCTACGTTATCCTTCACACAAACAAGTAGAACCAAGAATTCCACTGATGCTTTCGGGGTTTATCTTAAAACTGTCAATTCCAAAGCCATTAGCAGCTTTGATTAATTATAGTTTAAGGGTTAATGAGGGCAAATCTGGAAACTACATCTAATGTGTTTGTTTGAAGATGAAATGCTAAGTTTTCCATCATCGTTCACAGCATGACCTGTGATAATTGAACTGTGCCATGCCTCCCACTGTACAAAGTCACGTGACAAGGTATTAGACAATAATTACATTTGCTGAACAAATTAAAGTTACTGGCAAGACCGTGTGTCAGGGTTTTTCACAAATTAAGATAAATCATTAGTTAAATCCGAGGCTGACACCGACTGACTTGTTTTTGTGAGTCTTTTGCAAATTGTTGAAAGTTTTAGAGAAATTAGTTTTCATTAGATGATCTTTGAAGAAAGGAAGACCTTCTGCTCAAAGGAAGAAGGAACTTTCCATAAAAAGCAAAGGACAGCTACAACTTGTTTGTTTGAATATTTCCAGTGGGATTGAAAAAAATATATATACAGTGATCCCTCTCCTATCGCGGTAGTTACGCTCCAAGACCCACCGCTAAATGGGAAAAATTGCGATGTAGAGACAAGATAGTTATTATATTATTTACGTACATATTTATCCTTTACAATCCTCCCCCACACTGTTATCAACCTTCCCTAGACTGTATTACCATGTATTGCTACACTATTATATCCACAGTAGAGTTGTATAATGGCGACGCAGAGCGAAGTGAACGAGAGAGTGGCCGACAGACGAGGGGAGATGCTACGATGCATGAGCCAATCAGTGTGAGGAACAGAAGAGCATTCTCAATTAGCCAATAGTACACCGAGTACGCATTGTATTAACCAATAGTATGCTGAGTACAATCTTATCTAGGTAAAGCTACGAGCAATCGTTCGCAAATGCGATACAGCAAAAATTTCAAGAGGTCAGATTAAAAAAAAAAAGTGTGATGTACTGAGGGAGCGAAAGGATAACACTGTATTCCAAATATGATAATGTCTGTAATATAAACCATTTCATTTGAACACCTGTCTTCGTTATCGTCGACTCCAATCATCGTAAATTTAGGCAAATATTAACCATCACATAAAACAGACAGTAAAAATCCAGTCTGTGTGAACAGCAGAGAAGCAAGACTGAAAACGACAGAAATACCAGAGAGGATCATGATTCTTCAACACAACACTTTTCTATTGCAGATTAATATGCAGTACGGCTGAAAAAGACTATAATTATCTCCCCGCCTCCTTTTTCATGTCCTCTCTATTTAATTATCCTCTTCAAATTTGATTTCAGCGTAGATTTTCAACTGTCTTTGATCCATATCCTTGGGCATCATTGCATTCAAATATTTTGTCAGTTAATAAAATTGTTACATAACATAAAGGGATCCTTCTTCAGACTACGGGGAGGAATTCCAGGACTGTGGAGTCAAAAGTAAAAACAACAGATCTTTTATGTTTTCCACAGTGAAACATTCAAAAGTTGGTCTGTAACAAAGACACAGCAGTCAAAGTGACAATTGTTTACATCCCCTGAGAAACATTTCGCCGTCATCTCCTCGTCGTTCCGTTCCTGAGTGCCTTTTTTTAACGCCACTCTGTAACTGCCATATGCCGGTGAGCAGCCAAGCCCGTCGCTGGCCTCTGAGGAGAAGGCCTTACCAGTTTAATAAGGCAGCAGGAGACGACAAAAAAGCCCTGCCGACAACTAATTTACACACAAATGGCCCTGAAAAGAAAATAGGAGGTGGTGCTTAACGTTTGAATTCTTCGGTCGGTAACTGGAGAGCTTTATTCCTGCCCTGTATTTTCGTGATGATGATAATAAGGCAGAATAAAAGAAACGGGGGTGAACCAAAAGCAAAAACCACAGCCGCTAAAAAAAGCAACCTCCATTTTCAGCCCCGCTTCTCCGCCATCCAGATACAAGTTATGATTTTGTGAGTTAGAAAATAAAGGTGGTAATTATTGCCCTGCATGGATGAAGCCACGTGTGTGGGAGAATAAATAGAGCACAGGGGTGGGAAACAGAGGAGAGCTAACTCTGCTGATGGACAAACCCAGACAAGTCATAACAATGATCTCCATCAGTCCTCTTTTGTCTGTGCCTCCTGACCACAGCGTCTGCAGTTTTCTGAACAGAAAGTCATCAGTGTAAGACCAGAGGCTGAGGAGCATTACAGTAATTCCACTGTTGTCAAGTCCATTACTGTCAGAGGGCAAAGTGCAATGAGAACTAGACCAAGGGACGTCTCTCCTTTCACTCTGAACCTTCGTCCTCTATCAATCAAGACTTTACATCCAAAGCCTCCCTCCACTGTTCGAAATACACACTTAGACCTAACAATATTTGGTATTTGAATAGAGATAGTTCTATCCGATACTGGTTAAAATTTCAGGATCGGACATAAAACAACAACAACTATAACCTTTACAACACAAATGCTCAAACTTACTTTGCACGACATGCCAGAAACATGGACACTATCAACTAAGCAACAGTATGCTGGAGGGGACAGAAAAAAGGCATCGGATTACGGTATACTCTAAGTTGCAAAATTGGCATCGGACATGAAAAAAATTGGACCAAGCCTAATCTATATTTGAGCGAGAGGTTACACACAATTGGACACCTCGTGATTAACAGCTAGTACTTAACAGAGGAATCTGATTTTGTTTATATATATTTCTATATATGTGTATATACATACATACATATACTTATACACATATATAGATATATAAATATATATACACATATATACATATGCTTATACACATATATAGATATATACATATATACACATATATACATATACACACATATACATATATATAAATATACATATATACATATATAAATATGTATATATATATGCCTGTGCTGCTGCTTTTTATTGTTAGTCATTCTGGTACATAAAGGGCAAAATGTTCTCAGAGGTGACACACGGGCTGAGTTCGAAAACAAAGTGTGAAAACCCAGAGGGAATGTCGATCAACACTAAAAATCTGTGTTAGAAGTAACTCTGTTCAACCAAATAATTTGCTTTTAAAAAACTCTCTAATCTCTTGTAGTCTTTTATATTGTATTTCCTTGTCAATTGCATGTAATGTTTTACTCGACCTATTGCTCTGTTTAGAAAGTGACATATAGATAAAGTTTGACATACTGCTACAGATATAGTCACAGTAGCAGGAGGAGCAGAGTAATTACTTAACCACTCTAAACAATTAGAATTATACAGGACTCAGTCTAGCCATTGTTGTGCCTCATGTTATTAAGGGCTTGGTGCTGGAAGGGCTGCCCAGAGGTCAAAGTCAATCACCATCTTTCTGTGTGTTCATCTGCCTTTACTTTTATCCACATGGTGAAAACGATGTGAGATTTTGCACTTTAATCTCATTCTTTAATTCCTGGTTCCTCAACGTGCAGAGGGCATTAACTAAGACTACGACTGACGAACTAACTGACACGATTGCCAACTCCGGAAAATACGGTAATCATGATTAAGTATGATAACAAATAATCATGATTAATCGTGATTTATCCACAGCTATCATATGATGAATCAGCTTCATCATTGGACAGCCCAAATGTCTACCCAGCTGGCATAAAGGAACATTGTGACTAAAAAAAAAAAAAAATCTAAAAAAAAATCAATGATAGCCTCATGCGTACATTTTAATGAGGATGAAGAATGGCCGCAAGCTGTGCTTGATCAAAACATTGTGTGGAGCCATGATGTGTGTTTGAGCATTCAAGGACCACAGGGAACCATAGGAGATTATCAGGCTCCTGGGCTGCCCAGCTGCTGCTGGAGCTGTGTGGACATCACTACTTCCTGTCTGTGTCTTTTTATCTCTCTGCCTCATTCATGGTTATCATTAGCTGGTAGCATCAAAAGGATAGACAGTGTCTGTGCATTCAAAGCTCCACAAAGGAAAGAAGCCTGCCATTCGCCTGGCATTAATTAGAAATTTGAAATTATTAAAAAAACTGACAATGACTCCATCCAACTCTTGTACCGGTCCATATTAACAGTAGGTACATTAAATGTATGTACATCACATCCTCTGTATTACTGCAACGCAGTGTTCGAGCAACAACCAGCAGACAATAATGGTGCTTCTGCTCAACTCTGCTCAACTTTATTTCCTTTTCCATTCCCAACTGTCGAACACTTACGTGGGTAGTAGTTTAGTTTGATTTGGGAAAATTGCAATAAAACAGAAATCTGTGCAGAGTCAAATCACCAAGTTTAAAATCACTGCAGTGTGAAGAGAGATTAGTAGCCTCTTATCATATCTGCATCAGTGGCACATTGTTGGAGCAGCTAGAGCATTGCAAGGACTGTGTGTACTGGAGAGAGAGAGAGAGAGAGAAAAAAAAACATCTATTATCTGCAAATAGAGTGACTCCATCCATAGAAATTTTAATTAAAACCTGACAGTTTCATCTCAGTGTGACAACTTCATTATTTTTCAGTGATAAAATATACTGGGGGCAGAAACAAACTCAGCTCAGTTCAGTTCAAATGGAGAGACCTGTTCGGGTAAAAGCTAATCATTTTTCTGACCTTGGCATGTTGATGACCAGCTGAAATACTCAGGTGAGGCCGCAATCAGATTCTAAAGTCATTTTTTGGTATTCTGCCATCAATAAGCTGCGTGCTGCGCTCCAACGACAAAATAAATGTCACATCTAAACGTGATTTGATATTCCTTTAAAAAAAAGTGTTGTGACTTATACAGCCTGGGTCATTGTTCATAAAACAGGTTAACTACCAATGGATCTAAAGTTGACTCATGATGTCTTTACCTTCATCTGGATCATTCCTGGCCGATGCCTCCAGGAGTGCCACGCTGGCTGTAAAGGACACGTGCTTCTTGAACTCCGCGCGTTGGAGGCTGTTTAGGCCGCGTCCCTTCTTGTCCGCCTTTCGCTTCTTGTGCTGCATCTCCTTCTCGTACACGGCCCATCTCTTCAGCTGCTGTGTGCGCCTCTTCTGGGCCGCCCGCAGCCTTTCCAGACTGGGCACTTTGTCCAGCTGCTGCAGCTCCTGGATCAGCTCAAGGTGGTTAGCCATAACTCCAGGAAACGGGGCTGGCAGTGGTGGGTGATAGCGGCGAGAGGGGGGAAAAAATAATACGGGTTTATTTTCTTTTTAGAGAAGGCTGCACCGTCGGCTGTGGCCTCCTCCTGTCGATGGCATCACCATCCTTTTAGTGGCCGTAAACCCCCTGAGTGAGGAGACAGAAAGAGAACGGTTAAGAAAACGTTTGTCAGAATGTGACCTACTTTTTATTTCATTACACCAGTAAATAAAGCGTGGATGTACTGTACTGTGGTAGAGAAAGCACAGTAAATGCTTGTCCTCTGGGAAAACAATAGTAATTTTATGTGAGCATACTCTAATGCACTTAGAGCTAAAAAAGGTCAGAGTTGACCTCACCGGGTGACAAACCTCTGGACAACTTTCTTTGTTGTCTTAGCCTCTGTTTTAAATTATGATGAGGATAAAAAAAATTCTCCATTCTTTCTCTTCCATTAAAATTGTCTTTGTCAGGCAGCCACTTTGTCCGTTCATATTTATTAGGGTTTTAATGAGACGGCATTTTACCTTTCAGGAGAATCTAGAGGATTTTTTTTCCCTTTTCTTTATCTAAATTGTTTGTACAGAAAGAATGTTTTTTCATTTCTGTTGTAAGCTGCTACAAATCTCTGACTGCCTCCTGCCCTAAGAACAACCACTTCCTGAACACCTCACGTAGACAGCAGTTGTTGTTGTCAAATTGATAAAGGGAGTCGAGTTGAAGGAGAGATCATTTGTCCTGATCTCACTTATTTCGTTAAACAAACATAAAACACTGGTTTATATTTCTGAATGAAACGACTTTATCTTCTTGTAACCTCATGGAGTAAAGGTGAATTGTGCCTGGCTTCTATTTGAGTGTCTGATTTAAGGCAGACCCACACATATGACCTAAATATACATTTAAACACATCATATCATGAATAAGTGCTTTCAACACTGCAGCCAAAACACACTAATATAAATACATTCACCACAACAAATTCAGCTGTCGATAGACAATGATGGAAACGGCTCATGTCTGCAAAACCTCCACACATGAAAGCCTACAGTCAGCATCGCCTGAGGAAACTGCGACTGAGAGGTCTGCCACAAGCCAATATTACAATTCTGCGACAAAACAAATTGGACAGGAAACAAACATAAGAATCACTTCCTTCAGCATCTCTTGCAGCTGTTCATTTTCCATTGTCAAACGTGCTTTTCTGTGCATGTGTCACATCAGTCTATCGACAAACAGGCAAACGATTACCTTGACGAGAAAAAAAAAAAAAAAAGCACCTCAGCCTTAATGGAAGTTCCCACAGAGTGTGTTTCTCAGGACCAGTAACTGACAGCAAACACGGCTACTGATATGTTTTTTTTACTAGAAATTGCTCATCTGGTGCACCGACTAGAAAATGTTCTGGTTTTAAAGTTTTATTTTCTGGTTATTCAGCTCATAAAGACTGCACAGTCCTGCTACTACCTACATCCTGCCTCTGGGCTACAGGAATGAGCCACGGATCCACAAAATGAGTCAGCTGTCTTCCCAAAATGTTCTAACTCCATTCAGCGTGTCCATGAGTGCAGTTCTACAGGACGCCAGGCTACAGAAATTACAGGCATTATATTTAAAAGGATTGAAGAAATTGTATACATTTATGTATACAATGTATAAATAAAATACCACTATAGACCCTCGGTTAGGTATTTTTCATGTTAGTTGTCAAGAATGACAAACAGCAAACATTGTCTGCGATCAAGTACCGAAAGGGATAGTGTCGAAAAATATTGGATTCATTCATTAAATCCCTTTATCGTTATTGTCCGTGTTTCACAGACTTTCTGTTACAGGATGACTTCATGCACATTCATTGGCTGCTTTAAATATATAGCTGTGGAAAACTAACCAAGTAGGTGGCAGTAATGTGAATAAGAGGAAGGACGAAGAGAGAGGCCTGTGAGGTGCTAGCAGTGTTAGAATTGAATCTCAGAAACAGGGCTGTAGAGAAAACACTGTGAACACCTTGATTTTTAGCGAATATTACCTCATTAGACAAAATTAGGCTAACATCGGATAATTACCCCTGTCCATTATTAATATCAGTGCTATCATTATTATTAGTTATGTCTTAAAATGCCATCTTAAAATGCCATGTGTCCTGCGGGGCTTGAGCTTCAGGAGAGATGTTCTGCTGGCAATCACAATTAATCATGATTAACCTAATCAATAGTTTTCACAAATATAACCTTTTTCGTCGTGAAATGCAAATTTGACTGCATTTGAAAAAGTGCATTAGTTTAATTCTGTGGTTACGTTTTAAGCAGGGGCATAATTATCGTATAACATTTCACAACATGTCGGAGGAGAGCAGCTCAGCAGCTGACTCTATACTTTTAAGGTCTTTTTCTTAAACTATTGATAGACAATCTTGTCAGGAAAGAGACATATGCCTCTAGGTGGGAAAAAATGTTTCGAGGCTGGGTTTCTGGGCGCTTGCATCTCACATTCACATAAAACCTAGCCGTACTTATACAGAGGATGCTAAAACAATGGCGTAATCTTTATCACCCCGCTGCAACACAGCCTGTCGGCCAGATGACAGCAGTGGGTAGAGTCTGTAGGAGCGTTTTGTGAAACAGCTGAGGGATGTGTTTAACACAGCAAATTGGTTTACAGAAAATGATTTGCTAAGACTGGGTCAGGATCCAAAGGTCGTTCACGAGAGGATTACCAGCAGGGCCTCAAATTATTCAGGAGGAATTTGAAATTAATGCTGTCAGCACTTTTTCCTCCCCACCTAAACCTTTAAATGAAGACAGATGGCCAACACTGTAAGTACAGAGTGGTTCAGCATCTACTACAGTTTCATTTTAGAAGAAGGAAAACGGTGACAATCAATCATATCTGTCAATCTAATGCCATTTTTAATTTCAATTTAGCTTTCGAGCAATACGAAAAAGTTACTTAAAATCGATCAACTTTTAAATGGTAAAACATACTTTTAACGACCTTACTTTACCGTTTGAAAAATTACATAATCATCGGCAAAGACTATTCACCCATTCAGTAATACAAAAAGCTATTTGTTTGTATCAAACTCCCCGAACAATGTAATAATAATCAGTTCTGGAACAGACAATTTTTGACCCTCCTTAACTAGTTTTATTTTTAGAACGTACCCCACCGGCACCTTAGGTAGTCCACAGGGGCTACCAGGTGCCCCATGAGAAAATTAAACTTCAAGATTATTGGATTTTTTTAAAGGTTTATCCCTTTACTTTTTTTAATTTTATTGGATTTTTTAAAGGTTTATCCCTTTACTTTTTCCCTTTAGGAGGCATCTGTAGCAAACAAACCCAGTCAATGAAATACCTGGAGGTATTTCCTAAATATATAAACAAAACTGGTTCTGACTCTAGGACTCTTCCCTGAGGCGGTGCTGCTCCCCGAACGCCAAACTACTGGGTGCGTCTCTCCCAGCAAACAGACTTTGATTACACCTTGAAAACACTGACGTGGATCATACACTCTGAGTCAAATACATCAGAGGAGATTTCATGCTCGATGCTCTATCAATCTTCTGTGCTGTATATCTGTCGGTGTCGGAGTGGAAGAGGTCGAGAGCAACATAAAAAGACAACAATGTTTCATCGTGTCCTGATGCGGATTAACCCTAACCAGGGCGTGCCTGGAACAAGAAACATGCGGTGCTTTCTTTGGCTGCCTTTGATGATCACTGTCATCAGCATCAGGAATATAAAACCCAGGAACCGACCGTGATCCAATCAGGGGGGAAATCAAAGCAGCTTTAACAATGTTAGTCGCACAAACACAAAGACAGCAAGACACAAGAGACACAAAAATAATACACAAACACAATTAGCAACTGAGAACCACCGTGACTATTGTCAGTACTCTATCCAAATAACACACCGCCAATCCTACAGCCTAATACTACATGTCCAGAACTATCAGAGGGAGAACACATAACAAAGACCGAAAGGAAGGTTAACAACATCAGCAGCTTAATTTGTCATATACATTATATGTACTATGTGATTACCACATCCGTTATAACATGAGAGGTGAAGTATACAATACAGGTAATGGGTAAAATACATCCAGAACGCTTTGATAATAAGTCCCAAATGTCAATAAAGGGCTCGTCCGGGAATTGAACCCAGGACCTCTCGCACCCAAAGGGAGAATCATTCCTCTAGACCAACGAGCCATAGGATCATCTAAACAAATTTTGGCAAAAATTGTTTTTCCTTCATGGAATATTCAGGAATTTACACATCGAAGAGGATCAGACTATCAAAGCCCAGCTTGGGAACAGGTTTCTGTGGATCGTACTTGTTTAGCAAGATTTAAGATTTCTTTAAGATGAGAATTTGTTTGCAGTTTTCATTGCAGTAGCACATCAGGCAGTTTTCTAAGTAAGTAGGGAGCACTTCAAACTTTACAATCTTTTTCATAAAGTTAGTGTCGATGTCGTTGCACTTCAGGGTAAACACCATGTTAGCATTTCTTTTTCTAACAATATATTTTCTTTTGGTACACTTTAATCTAACATCCAGGGTTACAGCATCAATTGGGAGCCTTGTTACAACAGAGTGAGTTTCAAATCTTTCTGTTTTCAACCACATTAACTTCTTGGCTTGAACTTCTACCCTTGGCTGAAGAAGATGCTGCTCAATTATTGCCAATGTACAAGCATCACTGAGTTCGGTACTTGTTTCCCCCCCAAATGCGGATGAAGTTTCTCAGGTTTAAAATATAATTTTACCTCCATCATCAATCATCGTTGTTTTTAGTTTTACTTAGTTTAGTTAGTTACTAGCAACAATAAACAAACACATTTGGACACATTTTTCAGTTTGTATAGAAGCCCAAGAACCACATTATTACTTTTTGGTGTTGATCCAAGTGCAAACTGCTGAGTGAATTAAAACCGAGGGGCCTTGGCAGAGTTTTGGCTTCTTTTTGTGTTTTCCTGCACTTCCTGGACTAAGACTGATTGGTCTGCGTAATAATGACTGTATCACTGAGGTAGCTGTGTGCTGCACCTGCTGCTGTATTTATGGTTTAGGTTTAATATTGAAAATATGCCAAATACTTATAAATAAATAGTAAATAATTTACAGTATGAAGTTTCAACA